CTGGGAAGCCAGGACCTCGGGGTCCCCCTGGGCCTCCTGGCTTCCCAGGAAAGCCAGGCACAGGAAAACCTGGGCTTCATGGGCAGCCAGGCCCTGCTGGCCCCCCTGGCTTCTCCCGGATGGGCAAGGCTGGTCCCCCAGGGCTCCCAGGCAAGGTTGGACCACCAGGACAGCCAGGATTGCGGGGAGAGCCAGGGATACGAGGGGACCAGGGCCTCCGGGGACCCCCAGGACCCCCTGGCCTTCCTGGTCCTTCAGGCATTACTGTCCCTGGAAAACCAGGTGCTCAGGGAATGCCAGGGCCTCCAGGATTTAGGGGGGAGCCAGGACCCCAGGGAGAGCCTGGACCCCGAGGTGATAGGGGTCTCAAGGGGGATAATGGGGTAGGCCAGCCAGGGCTTCCTGGGGCCCCTGGGCAGGCAGGTGCCCCTGGGCCCCCCGGGCTACCTGGTCCAGCTGGCTTGGGCAAACCAGGTTTGGATGGGATACCAGGAGCCCCAGGAGACAAAGGCGATTCTGGGCCCCCTGGGATTCCAGGCTCTAGGGGAGAGCCAGGAGTTATGGGTCCAAAAGGCCCCCCTGGGGTAGACGGTGTGGGGGTGCCAGGGGCAGCAGGGATACCAGGGCCACAGGGCCCAGCAGGGGCTAAAGGGGAGCCAGGGCTCCGGGGCCCCCCTGGATTGATAGGCCCTGTTGGCTATGGGATGCCAGGAAAACCAGGACCTAAGGGAGATAGGGGCCCAGCTGGGGCCCCAGGGCTTTTGGGGGACAGAGGTGAGCCAGGAGAGGATGGGGAGCCAGGAGAGCAGGGTCCACAAGGCCTTGGGGGTCCACCTGGCCTTCCTGGGTCTGCAGGGCTTCCTGGTAGACGTGGGCCTCCTGGACCCAAGGGAGAGGTAGGACCTGGAGGTCCCCCAGGAGTGCCTGGCATTCGTGGTGACCAAGGGCCTAATGGTCTGGCAGGGAATCCTGGGCTCCCTGGTGAGAGGGGACTTCCTGGACCTCACGGACCCCCTGGACCAACTGGACCCAAGGGTGAGCCAGGTTTTACAGGTCGCCCTGGAGGGCCAGGGATGGCAGGAGCCCTCGGACAGAAAGGTGACCTGGGGCTTCCTGGGCAGCCTGGCTTGAGAGGCCCCTCTGGAATCCCAGGACTGCAGGGCCCAGCAGGCCCTATTGGGCCCCAGGGTCTGCCAGGCCTAAAGGGTGAACCAGGCCTTCCAGGGCCTCCAGGAGAGGGAAAAGTGGGGGAACCTGGCACTGCTGGGCCCACAGGACCCCCTGGAGTCCCTGGCTCCCCAGGACTCACAGGTCCTCCTGGGCCCCCTGGGCCTCCTGGCCCTCCTGGTGCCCCTGGAGCCTTTGACGAGACTGGTATTGCAGGCTTGCATCTGCCCAACGGTGGAGTGGAGGGGGCTGTACTGGGCAAGGGGGGAAAGCCTCAGTTTGGGCTGGGGGAGCTGTCAGCACAGGCTACTCCGGCCTTCACCGCTCTGCTCACCTCCCCCTTCCCTGCCTCAGGCATGCCAGTTAGGTTTGACCGGACTCTCTACAACGGTCACAGCGGCTACAACCCAGCTACTGGTATCTTCACCTGCCCTGTGGGAGGCGTCTATTACTTTGCTTACCATGTGCATGTCAAGGGCACCAATGTGTGGGTGGCCCTGTACAAGAACAACGTGCCAGCCACCTACACCTACGACGAGTACAAGAAGGGCTATTTGGACCAGGCGTCTGGAGGGGCTGTGCTCCAGCTGCGGCCCAATGACCAGGTGTGGGTGCAGATGCCCTCAGACCAGGCCAACGGCCTCTACTCCACTGAGTACATCCACTCCTCCTTCTCAGGATTCTTGCTCTGTCCCACATAACCCGTGGGGGGCCCTGCTGCCCTGGCCTCCTCCTCTTTAGCGATAGAGAGACCTTTCCAGTTCTAGAGATGGCCATTTGAAGAAAACAACCAACAGCTCAACAGAGGCGGCGGTGGCCTTGGCCCGAGGCGACGGACCTATTTTCCCCGTGTGTAGGCCAAAGTGGGTTCTGGAAGAGGTTGGCCTAATTTCCTTTCCCCTGGTGCACTGTAGGGGTTGTACCCTGTTCTGGACCTGCCTGGTCTGCAGGCAGCACCCTGGAGCACTCAGTCCGGCCCCCTTGTGAGCCCTGGAAGCTGTTGGGAGAGATGATTTTCCTGTTGGCATTAGACGCACGGAACAGGCCAGGGGTGATGCCTGTGTTCACTGGGCCTCTTCCAGCTCCCCGGAGGCCTCCAGCAAATGACATTAGGTTCCCTGAAGTCTTTGTTTCCTTTTGGGGGGAAGGAAGAAGGGAATGGGGGACCTGGAGGCAGATCAGTTTGACTAGACCCCCGGAATGATCCTGGTGGGGACAGTTGTGTGGCCTTTGCTACTGGCCCCTGAAAGACTCCAGAAGCAACCGTCTGTAGAGGTCTATGAGGGGACAGGGGCATGGATCTGAGGCAGTCTGGTAGCTCTTCTGTTTCCCTGGCTATCCCCATTGGCGCCGGCTTTTTAACGTGAGGGTGGACAGCCCTGGGCTGAGATAGAACTCTGCGATTGCAGAGCCAACCAGGACAAGTGATCAGCAGACACGGGTGCCCCTCCCTCTGTCCTCTGACCTGCTGGGGGTAGGCTAATTTTCTCATCATCAGACTGTTAGGGGACCCTTGCCAACCCCAAACTGAGTGTCTTCAAGAGCGCCTGTCTCTGGCCCTCTGCGCAGAGGCACACGGTGAAGACTTAATAAGAACTGTGCTGTGGAGATTTAGTGTCTGCCGGAGGGGCTCATCTGTGGGCACTTCCTTCTCTCCACCCTCTGCTTCCAATTTCCTGTTCTAAGCAGGGTAGGGCCCAAGAGGCTGAGGCTCTGAAAGAAAGGATGCCAGCAGGCCCCGCTGGAATGAGCTGGCTTTGGAGGCTTCCATCACCCTCCCTAATCACAATGCTCCTGCAGGGAAACAGGCGAGCTTGCTTCCTAGCTCCCTGGCCCCCAGTTTAGGCTGGGGTCAATGCTGGGGGCAGGGATGGCCGATACTCTTACCTGTATAAGGAGGGCTGCTTTCTCCGTGGTCCATGGCCTTCCTCAGTTCTTACCTAGTCAGCCTGCATCACTGTACCGAGTGTGAGAGTCTGGGACACTCAAGAGGCAACCCATCTTGTGCTCCAGTTTGTGCCCATTCAGATGTGCCTGCCAATGGGCTGAGGGCCCAGGGTCCAGCCTCCTCCCCTGCAAAGCAGCCTAGTTAACTGCTTACTTCCGCTCCCAAAGGGGGAGCCTGCCCCTGCCAGCAAGGAAAAGCTCTGCCCAGGGCTCAGTGTGCTTTTCTGCCCAAGAGAACCAATTAGTGAGTCAGAACATCCCTGCTGGGCCTTTTGTTCAGCCTCCTCCTTCCCCGGGGTCAAAGCCACTAATCTGATATGTTAGGGATGAGTTCTGATGGGCAGTGGTTAGTCGACTCTGAGGGAGCCCCAAAAGTTGTATCAGAGCGGAGCTGCTGGACTCTACCCTGAAGCCTTTAGGGAAGGGTGGCGATTTTGCAGTGTTTGCGGGTGGGAGCTGTAGGTGGCATTGAGCAATTCTGACAAACAGTGTCAGGCTTTAACGTGACGACTACACTTACCTTGTGCATTTTTGTATTCTGGCTTTTTTTTTTTTTAATTTAGGTTTTTCCACTTGTGATTTCATTTCTAGCCTGGTGTAGGAAGTTTCTCTCTACTTATCAAGAGCCCCATGTCAGGTTCAGGGAAAACGCACTGGGGAATCAGGAAAATGGGATTTCTCTCTGAAAACTGCAGTACTGACTGTATGGACCATCCCCAATAAAACCTGTTGTAGAAACCCTGCTGTGACCCTGACCTCAGTCCAGAGATGCCTCACGGTGTCCAGGCACTTTTCTGGCCTCTTGAGGAGTGCACCCTTCCTTACGGCTTCCCGTGTAGGCTCCTGAGGCTCCCCTGCTGCCTCAGCACCACCGGCACACTTGGAGGCATTCTATGAAACCAAAGAAGGGCAGTGGCTGGAGCGGGCTGAACTTCACCGGAACATTCCTGCAAGCTCTCGGGAGCAGTGGAGCATGGTGATTGGCTCAGGACCCCAAGGGCCAAGTGACAACATCTGATACAAGTTATGAATGAAGCTGTGACTCTCGGGTCCTGAGGACGGGGTGGGGGGCTGTCCTGAGCAGAAAGCACCTGTCCACAGCTTGCCAGGGGACCTAGGACAGCAGATCTGATAAAAGCCATGCCCTGTTACTGGCCTATGCTGATGGAAGCCGCCTGTCTCATGTTCCTGCAGCCTCAGGCCAACCCCTGAGCTAGCTGCGCATGCTTGTCCCTTCACTGAACCTGCGAGGATGCTCAGAGATCATACTCATGGTTTGTGGGAAGGTGTCTTTTCAACTCAGGTTTTTTTTTTTTTTTTTTTCTGTTTTTTTCCAAGACAGGGTCTACTTTGTAGCTCTGGCTGTTCTAGAACTCGCTACATAGACCAGGCTGGCCTCAAACTCACAGAGATCCGCCTGCCTCTGCCTCCCCAGTGCTGGGATTAAAGGCGTGCGCCACTACTCCTACCATCAACTTCCTTTGTAACAAATAGTATAAAAAACTTCCTTGCAAACCAAGGCCTTCAGCCTGGGCCCCAAGACACAGGAGGCATACAACACAGTTCACTGGGATATCTGGGGTGACACCCTACTCCCATCAGAGGTGGGTGCTCTGTACCACTCTACAGGGCATCCAGGTCAGAACAATCGGCCCATTTCTATTCAATCTCAAGCAAGGTATTTGCCCAGATGCCTTGACAGCAGTGTGCGACCTCCAATAAGAAAAGTCACTGATCAGCCCCACTCTGTCCTCCCCGGTTGGAAGGAGAAGACTGCCCCACAACACAGCAGCTACCGCCTTGGGGTCCCAGTACTAGAAGAGTAGCAGGCAGGGAGTCACTATTTAAGACAGTCCACCAGTGGAAACACGCAGGATATGCTGGGATTTACAAAAAACCGTTTATTGCTGTGACTCCCACCAGAGGCTGTCAAGGAGCCCCATTCCAGAGAGGGGCCAGGCCAGGTCGGCAATGGATGGTCGCCAGTCTCAAGAGCCACACAACCTGCTGGCTTTGTCCTGTCACAGCGATTAAAACCCAACAGGGAGATACGGTGTATCCGCTGGTCAAGTCCACCTACTGAAGTCCCTGTTCTAGATGGAAAAGAATGCTTCAAGGAGGCACCAGTTCCTCACTGTCCCACAGACTCCAGTCCCAAGCTTAAAGGGACTCTGGTTGCAACCTGAGCTGTCCTTGGTCCCGATGGGCCTGACAAGGCCACTGAGGTTGTGTCCTCACAGAGTCTCCTGGAAGACCCGATGCAGGCTCCGGGCCAGGACATCCGTCTCCTCGTAGCCCTCACAGCTTTGCTGCCAGCTCTCTGGCACCTGCTCCATCCCATAGTAAGCGCCAGCAATGGCCCCAGCCATGGTGGCTATGGTGTCTGTGTCGCCACCAAGTGAGATGGAGTAGATGAGAGTCCTCTGCAGGCTGTTGAAGGTGGAGGGGATCTCAGGATCAGGCTCCATGCAGCGCAGGAAGCAGTAGATGGCGGTGGGCACAGATTCAAAGGCAGCAATGCCATTCCCTGTGGGAAAGCTGGAAATAGGAACCTGACCTCCCTCCCTGCCACAGGTGTCCTGCCCTTGCCAAGAGCCAGCCCTCCCAGCTCTGTGCAGGGCCATGCCTGAGACCTCAGGCTCTACAGTCAGACCATGGGGCCACCACACCTGCTGGTGGCCAGGCAAGATCCCAGTAAGGTCTATCCTTTGCTGTGATTCCTGCTCTCTCCCAGGGCTACTGAGATGTGAGTCACTGTAAAACACTCTGTGGTGTCCAGGGCACAGGCACCAGGTAAACTAACATCCATAATCACACTGGTAGACAAACCGACAACTGGCTGCTGTTTCTGTGGACACTGATCCTTAAGGCTGCAGGCACCATGTGCACAGCCCTGCCAGGGGCCCTACAAAGCGCTCTAGCTGTCCCAGCAGCCCTCTGAGGATAGCTGGGGAATATATCAGTCAGGGTCCACCCACCTAGCTCAGACACCACTTCCTCTCGGCTCACCACGTCCTGGTCTAGAAGCTCTCCAACCTTCTTCAGCCTGCTGGAGTAAGGACGCTCCTCCATACCCAACCTGGGGTTTGGGAAACAATTTCAGAGGTCAGAGTGAGCAGGCAGAGACACAGGGAGGGGAAGGGACCCTTAAGAGAAATGGGGACATCAGGTCCCACCCAGTGTTGGGAGAGGACCAGAGATGTTTTGTTCTCTGGGACACCGAGGGCCATGAATCCACTGAGACAAAGGGCCTCCTCCTACCACTCCATACAGCTGCCAGTGAAGACAGGAAGACCCGGCTTTGCAGTGCCAACACCCACCCCTGACCTGCACACTCTGACCCCCTCAGCCCCAGTTCCAGCCCATACTCACTCCTTGGCATCCAGGACCGACTGGGCATCACCTTCCAGCTCCTCCATGTGGCCCAGAAGCTGCTCGAGGAAGTGCTCACTGGATGTAACACCCTGCAGAGCTAGGTGCACAGCCAGGGCCTGCAGGATGGCACCGTTGTAACCCAGGGAGGAGGCATGGGTCAGCTGGGCTGAGAGCCGGGCAAACTGTGGAGAGGATGAGCCACTGTCACTTCTCTACAGATCAGTCGGGAAAAGGGGTGTCTGTGACCCGCCTGTCCAGTACCTTCCGTACGTCTTCGATACTCTTGTAGGCCAGTGGGATGCCGGCCACCCGCATGGCACCTCCATTACCATAGGAGCCCTTTCCATTGAACTGGGCCCGGGCAGGCTCATAGACATCACGGCACTTGGGGCTCAGGAGCTTCTTGAAGACAGTGATGACTCCAGCCCCATACCCTCTGTCAGGGTCCTTCTTGTATTCTTGGGCAAACCTGGTGAAGAGAAAGAAGGCAGACAGAGTTTCAAAGATGTCTCCCGTGGCTAGAAGAAAGGGCTGCGCAGGGCTGGAAGGGGAGGTGCGAAGTGCCTCAGGGAGCTGGTGTCAGCCTTGAGAAGAGGCCTTGCTGGGTACGCACAGGTATGGTTCCTCTCTTGAGGGGTGCAGCACCACTGCCTGCCTGGCCTCACGCCAGGATCACATCCCTCACCTGTGAGCCATGTCCACCTCGTCGAAGGCCTCCTTGGCCAGTAGGGACTGCACCAGGGCCCTGGTCATGGCGGTGTCATCTGTGTAGTACAGTGTTTCTGCAGGGAAGAGGGAGGTAGGGTTAGAGCGTCCCAGAGGGCTCTGGGGGAATGCCCAACAGCTGACCTCTTACCCCTCCCTCCTGCCAGCTATGAATTCTTCAGCTTTTAGCCTTGGGATTAGCAACAACTGGCTACTCCCCAACGGTCATGACGCCCTGCTGATTTTCTGAAGGGAGCCCTTCCACTCCCTTCTTCCTTCACCGCCAATTATCTCAATATGGCCCATGTGGGCTCTCCTGCTTCCCACCTCCGACGCTGACACAAATTCTTCAGTAAGAAGAGGTTGCCTTCTTCCCTTCATTCTCCTGATCAAACAGCTGCCCACTGCCTTCAGGAAGAGGTCTCAGTTCATGGGCTTGGTATCCACTCTCTTCCCAGTGTGGCCCCCTCCTTCCTCACCACCCTCCACCTCACAGACCCCTTTGTACAAGCACTTGGGTCAAGTCCTTGCAGCCAGGGTAGCTCACTTCCCACCTCATCTCCTCTCCCCCTAGCTGCAGGTTTTCTGACATCCCCCTTCTTTAAATTGCTTTGTGTGGGTATTTTTGCCTTCTTGCGAGTCTGTGCACTACATGTATGCCTGGTGCCCAGAGAGGCCAGAAGAGGGTATCAGATCCCTTGAGCCTGGAGTTAACAGATGGTTGTGGGCCGCCATGTGGATGCTGGGAATTGAACCTGGGTCCTCTAGAAGAAGGCCAGTGCTCTTAGCTGCCGAACCATCTCTGCTGTCCCTTTTGTTTTGTATTTGAGACAGGGTCTCACTGTGTAGTACTGTCTGGCCTAGAATAGACAGATTCCTGTCTCTTCCTCATAAGCACTGGGATTACAGGTGCAGGTTCTCGTACTTCTAACATGTCAGACTCAAAGAGGCTACTAACCTGCTAGGGGCAGTGATGTGGCCTCACTTAAGAGAAGACTGTTAGAGAGAACAGACTCTCCTGATAAGTGCCTCCCTGATTCCTCAAATAGCCACTCCACTCCTTCCATGTAGCCCAAGCTCCATTTTCCTTCTTTTTTTGGTGGACCCTACATCTTAGCTTCATAACAGTAACTGCATTCCCAGTCTCCCTCAGCCTGGCCGAAGATAAAGGCCACCTCAGTCCCTGAGGTAAGAGGTCGCTCTTCTAGTCTCCTATCCTAAACCACACACCCTTCATTTGCTCACTGTGCCCTGATCTTCTTGAGGGGGGGCCCCTTTCTTCAGTCCCAGCCCAGGAGGCTGACCTCTGCCTAACCACATGGTAACTATCAGCCATCCATCTCTTATCGCCACTTGCTTATTTAGGGCCAGGCCCCACACTCGGGTTGCAGCTTTTGTAGGCACTGTAGCAAAAGGAGAACCTCTACTCCAGGGCTACGGGGGCCACATGGAGGGAAAGTGCTGTCAGTGTGTCATCCCCCAAAGGCAATCTCAAGGCAGAGAGGACCAAACCAGGCCTTTAGGAGATGAGCTGAGTTCCTGGACCTGAGCCCGACCCGAGGCCAGAACCTCCTTCGGATTCCTCAGTTGTGTGAGCTCTCTTTTCACTCAGTCCTTATGTTGGGTTTTCTGCAGCCACAGAGTTCCAACTACCACTCAATCTAAAGCACGGCTTTTTTTTTTTAAATCTTACCAAACTACAATGAAATAAAAATAGTTGTCTTTGCCTCATCTCTGCTCTCATTAACACCCGTTTTCCACGTTCTCCTCGACACACTTGACATGGCTTTCTGGGTCCAAGACTACCAGCAGCACTTTTTTGAAGCACACCAGTGCCTCCATCCTGAAATTCTTCCCTCTGGTTCTGTGACTGTCTTCCTGCCTCTCCTTCCTCCATCTCTAAACGCCTCTGACTTAAGGTGTCCTCCGGGGATCTGACGACAGCCCGCTTTGACTGTTCTCCACACGCTCCAAGAAGAACCGAGCCCTCTGCTGACATCTGGACCGGAGCTGGAGGGAAGGGACCTATCTTCACAGGCTGGGGACAGTGCCCGCCGACGCCCACATCGGGCCAGCAGCTTGAGAAAGCTGGCCACCACCGAACCGGACGGGTGGGCTCTGGCTCACGCTGAGGTTTTAGGCGAGGCCTGCGCTCTGACAGGGGACACGGCGGGAGACCTAACTACCGGGAGAGCTGGGGAGAACCGATCGGGTCACAGGGGCCTTCACACTCGGGGCTGCGCCGCACGACCCTCGCCCAGGTGTGGGGACCCGGCGGGTGGCGCCCCGCCCACCTGTCCGCGCGCTGCCCGGCGTGCCCGGGTCCGGCTCCAGGCTCTGCACGTGACGCAGGACTGACGTCAGGCTGACGGTATCGTGGGCCTCGTAGACAGCGCCCACGCAGTCTCCCAGCAGCGCGCCAGCCAGGCAGCCTCGGAAGCGCGAGAGAGAGCGGGCCGCACCGGCCCCGCCGCCGCCCGCCGCCGTCATCATCGCCGCCGCCGCTGCCATCCGCGCGCGGGCTAGGCGCCACTTCCGGCGCCGACGCTGCCGCCTCCGCGGTCCTCCCAGCCCCCGAATCCCCACAGCGCCCCCTTGTGACCCGGAGTCTCAGCGTCACCCAGGGGCTTAAGCGCCGCGGCGCCCCGCAGTCCCTGCACGCTTCGCTCCGGCGACCCTCCCGTTTGTAAAGGGCGACACGAATCAAACCTACGGCCCCCTGAAGTGTCGCGGAGGTCCCTTTGAAAAGAACCTGAACAAGAATGTTGCCTACTCCAATGTTGTCGTTTTGGACTTTTGACCCCTTTGAAGCTTAGGCCACTCCATCAACCCAAAAGGAGCGTCTCTTTCCCTCTCTCCCAGCCACCTTCATGGGAATCAGAGAAAAGCCTGGCCTGAGAAATTCCATCTTTATTAGATTCACTGCTCCCTCCTCACTTCCCACCCAACCTTCCCTCCTCCCGCAGCCACCAAGGCTAGGCTAGCTCCAGCTGGCAAGTTTTGAGTGGACTCAGTACACGGTTTGTCGTGCGCGTGAAGGTGTCCACCTGGGGCACGTATTTCTCAGCCGGCACCGTCAGCTTGCGTCGGGCGTCCATACACTTGGTGTCCAACAGCATGGAGTTGGCCTTGCACGCAATGTCAGCCTGCAGCCGGGCCAGGTGCTTGAACAGGGCATCCAGGGCATCCCTGTAGCGGAGGCATCGAGAGCTCACAGCCCTGCATGAGGCTTCGAGGGCCAGATCATTTCACCAGCGTAAAGCCCACAGGGACCCGCAGGCAGTAAGGTCCCATGGTTGGGCAGTGTCTCCCACCCTTCCTCCCCTCTCTAAACCTACTGTGTCTGGGCCAGCTTCTGCTTCAAGGCACTAATGGTTGCCTCCAACTGGTGGACTTCATCAATGAGACCGTCCTGGGGCTGGAGGCAGAAGGGCAGGATGGGATTCGCAGTTCGGCCACGCTGCCCTTCAGCTGGCCTCAGGGCTGCCCTGGGCCAGAACGCTTGCTCCCCCAGGAACCTGGGCAGGGATAATACTGAGGACTCCTTAGTAGAGGAGGGCGGTCCCCACTGGGGACCCTCGTACCTGGTCCCGGCAGAGTTCCACATTGGACCGGAAGTTCCTGGCCTCCAGCCGGGTGTGTGCGAGTTTCAAGTTCATCATCTTTCTGCGTAGGTCGTCCTCCAGGCGCCGAATATCTGCCTGCAGCTCGGCTATCTCCTCTAAGGTCTGTGGCAGACATACTGTTCTCCACCAGCAAGACGCACCAAGCAGGGAACCAAGCGCCTTGCCTCACAGCAGGGGAGGAAGGGACAGGGAGAGACTCACGTTTTTCTCTTGCCACTTGAGCTCACTGTACACACTCTCCATCTCCCGTAGCCGCTTCCTGAAGGCAAATTCTGTTGCAACCCTCTGAGCTTCAAGTTCATTGTTGGTCTGTGTGACAAGAGAGGGCCAGGCAAGAAGAGGGTCATCATGGCCGCGGAAGGCTGCTGTTTAAGTCGGGAAGGGGCTGACATATGGTCAGTGGGGAAGGAAACATAAAGGTCGGTTTGTCTCAGTCACCTGAGCGATAGTTAGGGCAATGGCTTCCCTCAACTCTATGGCTGCTTTTATTTCGGCCTCTGCGTGGTCCTTGTTGAACCTACTGAAGTCATCCCATTGCTGAAGCGTGGTGGAGCTGTGGAGGAGAGGAAACAGTGGGGTTGCAGGATGTGGCCTCCAAGGGACAGAGGAAGGGCTGACTGAAATACTCCTCTTACTCTTTGGGGACTCGTGTGGGGTTAACCTTCAGAGAGATGTTTGGGGAAGTGAGGTTGAGAGAGAGGCAGCCCCTGTCGATATCCAGTGTCTCCATTTTGTCCCGGTGGTCAGAATTGAGCTGCTGCCGGACTTCCTGCAGGAGGCTGGGGAAGAAAACTGCATTGGAGCCACCCCCCCCCCCGGGGTTCCGGGATGCAGCCGGTGCAGCAGTATGTGAAGATACTGAGGGGTTGTGTGTGTGTGTGTGTGTGTTTGTGTATGACCATGCAGGTGCTGCTGAATCCGAGACAGTGGCACGGCCTCGTGAGTGTCCCACAGACACAGAGCCCGGGTGTGTGGCTTCACACACGTGCACACACACTTACGATAAGGTGCTGAAGGCAGCGGCAGGTGCTTTCAGCTACAGAACAATGGCTGCCTAGGAGTAGAATCCTAACAAGGAGTAGGCAGCGGAAAGCAGGCTGTAAACGAGCCAGCCGGGGCTTCTGCCAGAAGCCCGGGTTCTCTGCCCACAAAACCCGTGATGCCTCGAGTGCGTGAGTGTGCTCAGGCCCTTCTCTGCCTCACCACAGCTGCTGGAAGGCCTCGGTGGTCCTCTGCTGCAGAGCCTTCTTGGTGGCTTCAATGACTTCCACCTCTTTCAGCAGCTCTTCTTCCACGGGGTCCTTCACAACGTCAATGTCTCGCCGGCTCTCCCGCAGGGTCAGGCACTCGATGGCCACATCCAGAGGCAGGTTCTTGGCCTGCAGGTTTTCCTCTGCGGACTCTTTCATCTAGAAAGGAAGGGCACAGGGGCTGGTGGGGCGGGGCACTGCGAGATCGCTGCGATCCTCACTTTGGCAGAGGGGAGCATAGCTTCCCAGATCTGGAAGTGGGATGGGAGGGGCAGACCATTGCATCAGAGCCCGCTGGTACCCGGCCCGGCTCCCTGCCTGTGTCAACGTGTCGATCTCAGCGTCTAAATTTGTCAGACACTTGTCCAGCATCTCCTTCCACCGGTTGACCGTATCGATCCTCTCTGCCAGGCGGACCCTATTGTCATGTTCATCCCATACAGTCTGGAAGAGATGGAACCAAATAAAACGAGGGTCTATGGTTGAGGGCCCCCCATGGCCCATGAGGGGGCTGAACGGCCCCCCCCCCCAACCTGGTTGTTGGTCTCATTGCGAAGGATCCTGGCTTCCTGGCGGATCTGGTGGGAAGCATCCCGCTGCCTCTCCGCATTGGTGGACAACAGGTAGCTGTTGGTGCGCCAGTCCGAGAGCTGGTAGCGCTGGCTGGGTTTGACGCTGAGTGTAGCCATGGCTAAGGAGCCAAGGGTCTGAGACCCTTAGGCCTGTTCCAGACCACCACCTGCAGAAGAAAAGAGAGGTGCCTTTCTGAACCCCGATCCTGTACGCTTGGCTCTAAGACCTTTTCCGCAGAGCCTGTTGGGAAGGGCTCCAACTCGGTCCCCAGATCAACTTCCTGGGAGGAATTAGCAATCTGCCATATTTCCTAGTGGTCCATTTTCAGGCACAAAGTCCTGTAGATCCAGGGGCGTGGAAAGGAAGGAAGAGAGCCCGTGATGTGTGTGTGTGTGTGTGTGTGTGTGTGTGTGTGTGTGTGTACGAGGCGCCAAATGCCTAGTGAAGGGATGGCAGGGACCATACCCCTTAATCCTGTTTCCACCCCTACTTCCAACAATCAGCTTTTTCCTAGGCTGTGGGCCCGGCCCACGGGGGATCTGGGAGAAGCTCCCTTCCAGGGTGGTATGACGGGCTGGCGCACCCAGGCTGGAACCAGCACCGGGTCTCTTGCCCCGCCCAGGTAGAGAGGAGGAGCAGGCTGGCCGCCCGTAGGAGGAGCTGGGATCAGAGTCTTGAACCCAGCAGGACCCTTTGCCTGCGCAGGCTCCGCCTTTGGGGTTTCAACCGACACACCGGCCAGAGGTCTGGGTTAGGAGGGCGGCCACAGGATACTTCCACCATCCGGATCCTCTCACCTGATCTACCCGCTCTCCTTCGCCCTCGGTGCCCCAGTCTGGGAACGCCTGTTGTTTGCGTCTCTGGTTGCCTAGCAACCGCCCCCCCCTCCTCGCGGAGTCACCAGTGCCCCAGCGCACTGAGCTCCAGCTGCGAATCTAGGAACTAGACATTTTAGTTTGAACAACGGTTTACACCGACAAGATTTTAAAAGTATGGCTAGCGTGTCGAGTAAAGGCCTCACGCTCTGGCTCGCTTTGTTTTCCTGTCTCCTTGCAGAAATGGATGGAGTAACAAAAAATATACCTTGGGCTTTGTATCTAGCACACATTCCTTTGACTTTGCTTTGCTCAACGATTTTACTAGTGTTTGAAATCATAAAAAAATAGTTAATTTTATTTAATTTAATTTAATTTTATTTTATTTTATTTTTGCCGGGCAGAAGGTGTTGTTCCCACAAGTATAGAGCTAGGTAGCGATGTCTGCACTTGGCGGGCAAGTGGAGGGTGGGGCTGCCGCCTGAGAAGTGAGAAGTGCTTGCTTGTAGGAGAATCCTTCCTGCAGATTTGTTATGAATAAGCCCAGGAAAGACTGGTGATAGAGCAGATTTTTTTTTAACAGACACCCCCCCACCCCACGCCACTACCAAAGACAAGACACATAGCACAGTGGGTAAAGGATGGGCAGGATTTACCGCGGAGTAGAGGATAGAACACCCCTAAGGCTGAGAGTGGATACCAGCTGGAGAAGTTAGCTCAGTTCGGGAAATAACCAGGGTAGCCAAAAGATAAAATAATTATATTTTTATTTATTATAACGGGAAAACTCATGAAACAGGAACGAGAAGTCCAAGCTCAGCTGTGCTGCGGGGGAATCACGGAGAGACCTGGAGCATGAACCGGTTTTTCTTCTCCAGGTCCAGAAAGCCACACCCTAACTTGGCCCCACCTCTTAAAGACCATTGGTTGGCCTATGTATCTAAAGGACAAGACCTTCATCAAGCCCCTTATCTAGAACAGTGGTTCTCAATCTGTGGGTTGCGACCCCCTTAGAGATTGAACGACCCTTTCCACAGGGTTCACCTAAGACCATCAGAAAACACAGATATTACATATGACTCATAACAGTAGCCCTTGATACAGTTCCTCATGTTGTGGTGACCCCAACCATAAAATTATTTTCATTGCTACTTCATAACCATAAAATTTGCATCAACCAGCGAAGGGATGACAACTGTGCCGGTCTCCAGAACAAGCGGCTTTTCCCAAGGGACTTGGTTCTGTCTAGGTGGTGATTGGCAGGCCTATTTGCATTGACTCCT